GAGTGTCCTCTATTACCTAGAATCTGGATGATGGAGAAAGTCCAAAAACCCAGCAATTCTGTGTGTCATCCACCATCGTCAGAACCCTATAGAATCTAATTCTAAAAACTGTTTTGAACAATGGCCAAAGCACTGGGAACATTGTAAAAACTGGAGGGAGATTACTTTGAAAAATTCTAGGTTGCTAATATCTGCAGCTCATAAAATAACCTTTTAAAAAGTTAATGTTGACTTATTTGCCCAACCTTGTACACTCAGTCATCGTCTTGTGCAGTGCTTGCATGTGACGTACTTTTATTCCTTATTTGGGAACTAAAATTAATTTTGTATCTGTAGTATTCTATACTTCAGATAATTTTGTGCGTTGTCTGTTATCAATCTATATTCAAAGAGATGGGAATGTAATGTGAAAGGTAGTCTTGGGTATTTCATAATTAGTATTTATTGCGGAGCATTAAACTGAATCATGAGGTTACATCATTCTTCCACTAGTATTGTGTACTGGAGTATCAGGCCAGAATTACCTGTTATCAGTTTCGAGGAACCATATTGATTTCAGGCTTAGTCTACATGGTGTACAGTACTTGCTTTTGTCTAAATCAGTGCTTATTTGTTTGAAGCATACACTTATATCTGAATTCTGCAGAAAATAATAGTGTTGGGTTTTGTTGTCTTGTTTTGGTTGATAGCAGTAGAAAATATACTAATGAAGTTTCACGCAGTTTTTGTGTTGTGAAGTATTGGCCTAAGCGTGAAAGGAAATGTTTCTATAGCCACATTGGTGCTCTTCTCTGTGCTTGTTTCTGAGGCTTATTCACATGTAAAGTTGAGCTTATGGGAACTGAATTACTTTTCATGCACAGCTTATGGGGGTATGTGTGTGTTACATGTTTGTCTCTGCTTGAAGTGAAACATGGCATGTTTCTCTTTCAGGCGGCGACAGTAACTGCATGAGACTTGACACGCTAACATCCTAACACATCTCTGTAAACTAATATGTCTGTTGTTTTCACACACATGATACACAGCCAGCAAGTTAAATCTGTGAATCTTAATGTGAAACTGTATTACATTCTGTATATTGCTTCTTAAGACATGAAAGTTTTCAATCTGATAGTGACATTGTCTCTGATAACTCCATTTCAGAATGTTACTGTTGCTGCTACTTACATACATATACTGTATCTCTGTGCCAAGGATTATAGTGTTTGACTGGTGGTTCATTTCTTTATTTCAGCATTATTTAAAATGCTTTATGAATGAGGGCACTAGTGTTATGGAGAGCTTTGTAGTTATATTACACTGAAATATTGTTGATGGATACACATATATGTATAAAATAACGTTTATTGGTTATGTTTACATTTACATTTATTTTCACTTCGTGGATCCAATCATCTGCCAGTAGGGCTGGATATAAAACATGTCACACATTACAAATTCATGATGACTTCCCATCATATGTCTTTGGTCCAAAAAATATATATAATCAGGCCTCATGCAGACAGCACAAGTTGTCAAGACAGCACACACAGGCCATGGAAAAACCACTATCAAATTCAACCCTGAACTTAATCCCTCATATTTCCAACCATAACAACTTTATGCTGCACAATTGCAATGATAGTTTAGCATAAGCTACATTCCTATATCAGAGTAAATTACTTTAGTGAAGATTGTGCAATATTTAGAAGAGAGCATTTCTAAAAACTGGTATATGAAGTAACCGTGTTACTGTGAAGTGGCAGGCACTGTGTTGGCAAATAATATATAAATCCACCAGCATGAGCTGTCATCTGCGATTGTCAAAGTGTTAGTATTAATATACTATGTGTAACAAAACCACAAAATAAAGAAAAGCAGACAAGGGAAATAGACTTGAAAGAAATGGCACTGTTGCGCTAATGAGAGTTGCTACACAGAAATGCATGAAGGAACTCCTTTTAACAGTGAAACTGAAGTAATTTCTTAAAGGCATACTGCAAGAAGAGCAGGAGCTTAAATTACTCCATGTGGTCCTCTTTATCTCTTACAGTTATGACAGTTTGTAATGTCAGTTTATTGAAAATAAACTATAAAATTTAGGAAATAAGAAAGAAAATATGAGAAAATGGAGCATTTAACATGTCTGAGCATGTGGACTTTTTCATTCATGGTGCTTAATGTTCATTCTAGTGAATTTTCTTGCTGGAGATTCTGTCACAACCCTCTTTTTCTAATGTTAAGCACATACTATACTCTGTATTAACTGGTTTGTGGCTTATCTCTGCATCTTTTGGACATGTGAGCTACCCTATGGTGTGCCTGTGAAGCTCACTCATTCTGTCTGTCTGTCTGTATGCATCATGGAAACTCAAGAACCAGTGGTCAGAATTCATGATATTGGAGAATTGTGTGAAGAATTATTGAGCAATTTTAACTTCCATTTAGATCAGACAATTTAACAACTACAGTGCTTGGAGAGCCAGATATTTTCTGTGTGTGATGTGTGAAACATTTCGTGGAATGAAAAATGTTCCAAACAACATTTGTAGAGACAAATTAAACAACTCATTTTATGTTCGGTACAGTTTGTCCACAAGTCTTATGGTTTTCGGGATCATTGAACAAATCAGACCGTGCATACATCTGTGATTATTTATATTCAACAATCACCATCGTCTTCTGATGACTCCTGAAACCTACATTATCTCTGTTTTCTGTTATTTATGTCTCTTCCCTTTCATTATCATGGATAATCTGGAGTATTCTGTGTAAGGAAATTGACATTTAATAAAGTTTTGACTACTACTTTTTGGCCCATGAGACTTTCTTTAAGTAACATACTTCATGGTCTTGGAATCATGCTTAAATGCCTAAAACACTAAAAGTGTCTCAAAAAGGTCTAGTTGAACTGGTGAAGTAGCTCTTTGGTGTTTCACTGTGCCAGTATGTCAGGCTCATTATTAGTACAAAATGGGTTAAAGCACATGAGTTTAGAATCATCTTGCTGTCATTGTCTTGGTATGCTGGTTAAATTGTAATGCTGAATAAAGGGATATTGGAATTTTTCCTTCTGTTCCCATTATAAGATATCTTCTTATTTAAGGGAAATACAGAATATGGGATTTTTTTTTTATGATTTAATAAATCTCTTCTGCAAATATAGGAAGGAATGGATTGAATGTTAATCGCAGTAAAATTATTTCCATGTTCAAAATTTGTATTACAGAATGACATGTTGTTGAGTGAGGTTCATGTATCTAGCGGCAACAATTATAGATACATTTTAGCAGCTTGTAAAAAGTAATGCTAGTTTCAGTGAAACCAGGCAGGTAATTGGTATGTAGTTATCAGTGCCACTGTTCTTGTGTCATATTTGTATGTACAGAATTTTAAGTATTGTCTTAAATGTGAAAAGAGAATGAAAGGGGAAAATATAGTACATGAGATAGCTGTATAACAGAGATGCAGAAATTGTAACTTAGGATTTATCCTGTTATCATAATCAGTTGGCATCCCTGTATTACACAGTCTTAGACTTGGTGCTCTCTGCATCATTACAAACTGCTTTTGTTCTCTTTTTGTAAATTGATTCTCTCTAGTCAACATGTATTTGCCAAATTGAAATTTTCAGTTTGGTACACATTCTTGTTCAGTGTGTGAAACTCAGTACAGGCTTAGATCCAACACATTTCTGTCAAGTAATGCTTTGGAAATTGTAATATAAGAATGAATGTTTATAGTTGTGAATTGGATGCTTATGCAACACTTAGTGCACTTGTTTATATTTTTTGTGCAAAAGTCAGTCAAAGACGGAACTGTTGTACAAAGATTGTAGTTGTGAATGGCATGCACAGGCAACACAGGAATGCACAAGAATTTTACAGAACTTCTGTATGGATTTTTGTACCGCTTGCAGAGTTTGTGACAAAAGGAGTCTGAAAGTTAGTAACAGTTATGTGTGTGTCACAAGATGATACTGCTTTAGGACACAGATGTTGCAGTAATATTGAGAGGATTTGGTTGTTTTATTTTTCATAAATTATTTTTCTTTATATCTTGTGTGTAATTAAAATATTTCCTTTGCTTATTTCAAGACATTAAGGTTTATTCATATATATTTCTAGAGTGGGTCAGTATACACTATGAATTTACTTTTTTTTTTTTTTGGTTTGTTCGTCTGTGTTGTAGCAGATATGAGGAGAAACAAGGAGATTGTAGAAGAAACAGTATTATAGAGTCCATTGCATTCACAAAATAAGGTCTTCTCATTTCTTTCACACTTCTCGCATGTTTCACTGCAGTGTAGATATATGTTTATCTGAAAGCAGGCAGAAATAAGGGCAAAAGGTCTTCATTTCCAGAACTTATGAAATCATGCAGTATCAGATAAAAACTGGTAGGGATGGGTGGGTAAAGAAAAGCTACGTTGGTAAATTACTGCAGTGAAATGACAGTTGTTAGGTTCATTTACATTCATGATATCAAATTATATTTGGAGTTATTTCCAAATTAGCTGTTCTGAGAACATTATTGTTCTCCATTTCAATTCAATAAATACAGTTCTTTTGAATATTAACATGTAGAAATGTACGTTCATTTTGTATAAGGTTGGTTGGTCAGTGAAGTGACTGGCTAAGGGGTGGATGATGGGCTCCATTCCCAGCAGGGGCTGTGATTTTTCTCGCCACTGGGTCCAGACCGGATACGAGGCCCACCTAGTCTCCTGTCCAGATGATACTGGGTACTCTTACCTGGGTGACAGAGGCTAGAATGTGAAGCTGTTGGTTCTTTCATTGTAGTGTTGAGGTCAAGAATTTGTGGAGCTATGCTTCTAGTCCCCCATATATCTTTATGGTTTGATGCTTAATGGAGCACAACAATAGCTTTACTTGTAATATGTCATGTGGAAAGTAGGCATGAATACTGATTGAGTTAGGAATGTGAACATTTACTGTGAGTCAAAGGAAGATAAGTCAGTCTGTAACTTGGATTGTTGATTGTTTGCGGTGCTGCAGTCGATCCCAGGGCCAGGGAGGAATGGGAATGGGGATTGGGATGCCACTGATCCCCCAACGCATGCAGCAAGCCATCGGTCAAGCCGCTGCACAAGCTGCTGCTCAGGCAGCAGTCAATGAATTGAAGGGTTCATTCAGAACATCCAGTAAGCATTAAGGAAAGCAGCTTCATGACATTGGATAGCGTTAATGATGAATGAAGGAACTCTCTTCAGGTGTGAGTGGAATCAAAGGTGAATAGTTTGTAAATGCAATTACAGCTGTGTTTCCAAAATTTGGACATTCTAATGGCATAGTTAATTGTTAAACACAGTATTAGGAAGTGTAAGTTCTTACAAACATGGGTTTTGTAGTATGTGTCAAGTGATATGTTACTGGAATTTGTGCTGTTAGCCACATTTTGTCTTCCGAATATAACTTTTGAATATTTCTTGATTAGTTGAAAGTGTGTGGCTTAAGCATTATCATATAAAATCAGCAATAGAGTTTCATCCTTCTCCATCAGAATCAGTTTAAATGAAACCGAAAGGTAGTCAGATATATGTTTGAAGTGAATAAAAGCATGCAAGAAGAGATGTGGCAGAAATCAGAGATATCCCCTAAAAATGTGTGGTTCAGAAACTGGAAAGGAAACTTTTCATCTACAGAGAGAAGTTCCTCTGTGGGTGATATTAATTCCTCTTGTGTGGGTCTTCAGGTTGCATTTCTGTTTGCCATAATGCATTTGTATTCAGTAGACTTCTCTGTAATTATCTGTAAGTAGTCTGTGCAGCCAGTCTTGTTTTGTTGAGTGACTGAACTTATTCAAAACAATCATAATTTCTCTTTGTAATTTACGTACTATTTTGCTGATTATAAGGTTGGAGTATTTTTCAGGTCTATCTGATAATTTTGTCATATATGTTAACTGATATTTAATAGTATGCAGGTGTACAGCATATATTGTTTGTTAGCTAATGTTTTATTACTATGTATAATAATAACAGTTTAAATTACAATGTTGTGATTAAAGAGCTCTTACTGTAACTGACAAATATGTGTGTAAAAGTATTGTACAGTTGTTATGAGTTACATGACATGACATTTATAGGCCTAAAGTTAGAGAACTGATGATTATGTGCGTTACAGGACATTTTTGTATCAGAGCATGCACATGGATAAAACCAAAACAAGATATTTGCTAGTGTTCCTGTTATGTAGATATAAAGTTTTAACTTCCTTCATTCAAAATATGAGACATTAATTGCTAGAATACCAGTAGTTACCTCTCCCATTCTGTTATGAGAACTGATTTTGAGTGTTTTGTTGTATGTTATGTTCATAATGTTATGAATTGTTAATACAGTGAATGCAGATTTAAAGAGAATTTGCATATTGAATAATGTTTCAGACACGTATCATATGGATTTTAATGAAGACCATGTATGCCTTTCTCCAATAAAAGTTGCAAAGTTTTTTTCACCCCCTGTGCTTTGCATGTCTGAACTTTGGGGAATGGAATTACCAGTGTTTGGATATAATGTTATGTGTGGGCATTTTACCAAAATGTTACAGACTCCATCTTGTTAAACCTTTGTGCACTGAGCCAGCCCATATAGAATGCTGTATTAGTATTGTTGGTAATCTTTCATTACAGCTTATACTTCTGTAACAACAAAAAGGTATGAAAGAGTTATTCTTACAGTTTATTAAAATCAACATTTTAACATATCTATAAGAAAGTAACCAGTCACATGATCCTTTATCATGGCTGCTGCATAATAAATTATTTTACCTTCAGTAATTCTAAATAGAATTATATAGATCTTAGGTAAAATTTGCATTTCATATGGTTAGCACTGGTACACCAAACTTGTGGAAAGTGCATGTTATAAAATATGTATTATATAATAATGACTGGAAAGTCAACTGGAAATATACAGCAGATTTTATGGTTATTAGTGTGCTATTCACAGTCAATGTGCAATCTTAATGTAACTCAGTTTTAAGCCGTGATGAACCATTTCTTTCCAAAAACTTGGTACAGAAGTTGAACTTTACAATGTATGTATGGTTGTACAGTTACAATAAGTTTTACATTTTCCCACAATTCATTTATTGCTAATGTCTATGCATTGTGTTTCATAGCTCTGACTTTTCCTTATAAATAAAATCCAATGTACACAAGTCAGAATTACACCACAAACAGCGCTCATTAATGTACAGTGTATATTTTCTCTTAGATGTTTGCTGTATGTTTCTGCTTTGCCTAGCTTGTACATAAGGTGCTGATGTCTAGGAAATAAGCATCTGTAAAGGTAGATTAGAGGAACAAATACTGTTTGTTGTAAAACAATTAAGATACAGATTTACTCATGCCCCTCCCCCCAAAAAGCACACATACGCATGCACACACACACACACACACACATGCACACAAACTAGTTAATAATCTTAGTCATACAATACAAACACTACTAACGTAACTGGCTGCAAGTTCTTTCTTGACCCAAAAGTGAAAGTCTTTCAGCTTTTTATGTGTTTATGTTTGTAATATATCATACTATGCATAGAAGTATGTGTGGAAGAGAGCTTACTCCATTCAGTTCATTCCTTGTGTTGTCTGCTGTCATTTTGCGTTGGAAGTTACATGTCAGGAATGTATTAGGATAATAATTTGATGTGATTTTTGTTTAGAAGAAATATGTCATTTGGTGAAGTAAGTACACATAATTTTGGCACGTATGGAATATTCACATTTAATTTTCAATTGTTAATGATGTGCATAAATATATTTTCAGAAATGTAAAGTCATCAAATAAAGATTCACTTAGCCTGCTTCAACAAAGATTTGGTCACAGCTGAATATATTGTTCATAGACTTTCATAGTACAGCTTTTATGTCTTTACTCATTGCATTATGATGTTACATTCACATTCCAAGTTGATAATATTGAATGCATATAGTAGCATCAACCATAAATAGCATGGGATATACAGTGAAAATTACATATATATATAAACTGCTTTCTTGGTAGTTTTGCTAGACGATTAACATTTTTGATGTTGTAAGAAGAACAGCAAAATTATTTTCAGATAATCATCAACATTCCATATACACATATGTATCAGCAAAACTCTGTCAAAGAGAATTTGTATATTATGAAATAATCTTACCCTTGCCTTGTGTGATTATGGCATGTGTGCAGTTATGTGCAGCAGGTTCTTACCTTTCAAAACTTGAGTACGTTACTTGTTCTCGTTCTTTTCGTCAAAATATGACCACAAACACCATGAAATATGTACATAATCTCATACTGACAGTATGTATTTACATTTTTTAATGTGCTGATAATGCTGTTTGCATATTGTCATTTGCAGTTTTTACCATTAATTGCCCCACAATCTTAATTATCATGTAATTAATTTTTACTGTATATTGAATATGGTCAAGTCTAATTGCTAAGAGTAGTTTCATATACCTGAATACATTAAATATAATAAATATTTATGTATATAAATTAATAGTTGGATATAGAGCTAAGCATATGATATTAAAATGTAGGGTAAACATATGTGTATATATGTATGAGAGTCAATTATATTTAATGCGAATTACACAAGACATGCACTGTTTGTTCCACATGTAGGCATTAGTATGTGCAGATGGTAGTCCAAATCTGGGGGGAACGTTGGAAATCATAAGACACAGAGAGAAGGGAACTTTTTAGTGCTGTTCTGAACTTTCCTTTGCTAATTGATTTCCACGTCACTAAAATGGACTCTTGTAAGGATGATAACAGCTGAGATAGGGACAAATGATAGCACTACTCAAGTTGTATGAACCATGAGACAGTCTACCCGGCTAATTTTTATTGTAAAGTAAACTTAAATTACATTCTAATGCAGACATATATGGAGAATAGTTTTGGTAAATATTCTAAATTATTCTGAAGTCTCATGTTAATGTGCGTCATTTTTCCACTGTAGTGGCTGCTAGATTATACTTTGAAGACATGATTGGCAAGGCATTTTAATGTTTCACAATGCTTCATAGTCAACAAGTTCAATAATGTTGCACTGTCATACACAGTTATATTTTGAACATTTTATGCCCTCTTATCGCTAAATTTAAGCACTAATGTGCTGCTGTTTTGGAAAGATAATAATACTTAATGTTTCATTTATCCCACTGGGTTGTTTTTGTTCACATTTGGCAACACAAAACATTATTCTTTGAAGTTCTAAAAGATATCTCCTTACTGAAGTGACTTACAGGAGTGGGTGTTTTTAACATACGAACATTTCTGTAAATTAGGCTTCTTCAGTAAAGGTCCTTCTATATTTTGTTAAGTATTACTGCTTATAATGATAAGCTTCTACCAGCTGGAAAGTACAGCTTAGACCAAGGCCAGTAAACTGTTGCCCAGTAGTCAGAATTCATGATGTTCTGGAATAATCAGTTATGTCTTCTATGAAACTAATAAATTACCTGCAAGGATTACTGTCTTATGGGCTGTCACGCTGCTTAGTCTGATAGGTCTTTAGGTGACAGTCTACTAGGCTATGCAGCTTTGCATACCAGAGGATTCATTTTCATAGCCGCTAGTATGAGAACTTATAATCTCACAAATTATCTGTGTGCTGTTATATGGTTCCTCAGGAGATGTACATGAAAACAAATTTGGGTTTGGTATGATTCTGGAATTTATACTTTCACTACGTACCTAGACCTGTATTATCTTATACAGGGTGTTTCACGACTTTAGGGCATAACTGCAGGAGGTAATTTCCTAGGTCTTTGTGATCAAAAAAGTTCATATAAACATGTGTCCGGTTTTGGACGGTAATGGAGTTATGACCATTTTAAACTCAGAATAGAAGGTAACAATTACTGACAATAAACGGAACAAAATAATGAGCCAGCATAATACATGATACATTTAAAGTATGAATATAAAGTTAACTTCGTGAAATTACCTTTAATTTGAATTTATTGGTGCTTAAAGCTGATTTTCGAAAATGCCACCGCCGGCCGCAACACAGGCTGCCGTTTGGTTGTGAACCGCGCTGGACATATGAACCCACCCCGCCTTAGGTATACATCTCAAGTGTCGAGGTAACGAGAATGCACTGTCTGTAGCTGGCTAAAAATAGCGACCTGACAGCTGACAGATGTGGTTCACACGAGGGTGTGTACGGGAATGAAAAAACAGTCATAACTCCGTAACCATCCAAAATCGGACACATGTTTATATGAACTTTTTTGATCACAAAGACCTAGGAAATCACCTCCTGGAGTTATGCCCTAAAGTCTTGAAACATGCTGTATATGTAAGATACTAGGATTAGCCATGCTAATATTTTATTTCCCAGTTTGTTCAACTGACTCTTAATGATTCTGAAATAGTATGTGACTTACCTCTTCATATTTACCTTTCATAACAGTATAATATGATATCCTAATTACATGATGCCGATCACAGTAGCCGAGTGGTCTAAGGCATGCACTGTCTTCGCTCGCTCGGAAGCCGGGATCATGGGTTTGAAGCCCACTCGGCATGGATGTTTGTGTGCGTTTTTCTGTGTTTGTGTACAGGTAGAGTCCTTGTGAAGAGCTGATCCCCCACCCAAGGAGTCCTACCATATGTCTAAGATCTAGTAAAACTAAAGTGAATGGAGAGTTTCATGGAGGTAGGCCTAGGCCCAAATGAGGGCTGTAGTGCCAATGAAAAGAAAAAAATTACATGATACAATATTGTGAAACAGTCTTCCTTCTGTCGTGCAGTATATTCACTGCTTCTGTTCATGCTGCCAACTACAGCTCAGCTTTTCCCTTTTTCGTCTTATTGTACTTAAGGAGTCCATGGACCACAAGCAGCCCTTGTTTTCTGTAGATAAGGTATAAGTTGTCACATATTGTGAATTTAATTTGAAACATTTATCCATGTTAATTATACTTTTAATTAACAGCACTGCACTAAATATCTTAAGTAAAAATATGTAGTTAGACTGCTTAAGCTACAGTTAGTTATCTTGTAGAGACCCATGACAGCTCAAATATTAAATTTGTTCTGAGTCCTGAGATTCATTTGTCATTGGTTTTATACAATTTCTCAGTTGACTGACCATTTCATACACATGTTGATATCTGTTTATATTTCATGGACACAAAAGTAAAGATGTAATCATCAGCTTAAGCGTACTAATTACAGATATGAGCTGTGTGTACGTCATCTGAATATTCCCCCAAGATGATAAATTTTATTCTCGACATTTATAACTTATTTCTCGAGCATATTCTCCAGAATATTGATTTTCATGCCAGTGTAATAGATCTTCCATTTAATTGCGATCTAAAAGTGTGTGAAAGAGAAAATTACAGTGGTTATTATTAAGTAAGGCAGCAAAAGAAATGTAAACTTAAGAGTGACAACATACTTGATCATACTTGAAGATTAAAATTATTGTTGAAAATAATATGTTAAGACTCAGAGTCATGATAACTGACCATTCAGTAGTTCTTATTTCCCATTATTTCAATCCTCCTGACTGTTTAACTAACTGTATTACTCTTCATGGCCAGTGAAGTGGGTGTTACGAGGTAGCTGTTTATGAGCCGGTTCATACACATTTTCTGTAACTTAATAGTAGATGCAAATATTCTTCATTGCTTCAAACCAAATTGTATTTATTTAAATCACAGTTTTATGAAGGGCTTTTGAGTCATACAATGGGCAATAATTAGAAACTGTATTAAAAAAAATTCTGGAATGTAATTATGGCAAGTTCTGCCAGAGGAAAGAACACCATTTTTACCATTCTTTCATAAGGCATAATTTGGCTTTTCTATTAGTGGATTTACTATTCTAAGACCTTCCTGTTGGCAAATACAAAAATTAAATGATCATATTCAAACATTTGGTAATTTTCCACAAAATACTGTATGACATTAAATAAGTTAAATCTAAAATGCCACTAAGGACATTTAAGGCCATGCCATAGATCAAGTGGTTAGGCACTGGCTTCCCATCGCGGCGGCCTGGGTTCGATCCTGGGTCTGGTCAAGTGGGATTTGTCGTGGACAAAGTGGCGCTGGGGCAGGTTTTCTCCGAGTACTTCAGTTTCCCCTGCCAATCTTCATTCCAGCAATTGCTCCACAATCACCATCACCTATCATCTGGTGCTGGTACAGTACACCAGACGTGGCCGCAGTACAAGGGACTTAGTCCCGCCCCACTAGTATTAAAAAAAAAGGACATTAATATGTGTTCAGACATTACTGTGGGTATGTTTTGTGTTGCTAAATAAATATTAAAGAGCATAATTTTTTCAGTAATTCAGGAAGGTAATAGATCATCTGTTATTTAAAGAGTCTCATGGTTTAATGTTAGGTGTGAATGTTTTAATTACTTTGATGGAAAGATAAAAAAAAAAGTTATTTCCTTTGATATGTGGTAATTCAATCAGACTTTCATTTATTTCTTTGAGTTAATATTGAAACTTTGTTGAGCCTTGCCTTTTTTAGTATTGCAGAAAAATTCAAATGGGCTTCCATAAATTATCTGTTAAACTGTAAAAAAGAAGCCTTTCATCTTCCCAGTTTCAATTTTCAGCCTGAACATCGATGTGAACAGGAATTTATTTCATTCATATATTTTGTGCTTATGAATGTAGTATTGTTAACTAAGTTCAAATACATTGGTATTTTGAGTTTGAGAAAATACAAATACCTGAATGTGGACATTCTTGCTGTGTACATAAGCTAAACAGTTGAAGGCCAAATTAGTGGTTTTGAGTAAAGGTGCCGAGTTGGTGTACATTTATTTCAGTGCATTGGTAGATTCCAGATGTGTAACTGATCTCTGGCTTTTTTTAAACCCCCTTCCAAAAGTGTTGGTGTTTTTGAATGGCAAAATTTTGTTTGCCCAGTTGGCAGCACATTGTAATTATGAATAATGGTGGTACAAGATATAGATATATCAGGAAGAGCCTTAATTGTCACTGATTATATCAAATTATAGGAAACAGGATCAAAAGGCATTCATTCTTCCTGTGAACATTTATCAGGGAATGGTGAGTAACTTTTGATATGCATGAGTGGGTTGCAATACAGATGAAAACTTAACTGTTTCTATCATGTGTATTATTTCCTGTGCCCTTTTTCTACCAATTATGAGAGTTGTTCACCTTATGTAATTGTATATGATAATCCTTTAGAAACAATGATTACATGCCAAATATAAAATTAAGTGCAAGGAAACAAATTTCATTTAGCCCATGATCAACCGTAGATCTGAAAACACTTTTATTAGGTTTTGAGAAAGGATTTTAAACTGTTTAAGTGTTTATTTTCTTATATTTCTATCTTTATTATGAAGATTACTATCTTCTTGGTTGTGACACCATCCAACTTGGTAAAAAGGGTAACCGGTGTTTCAGAGGAGTGGCTGCCTCCAGATTCATGGTACAAGAGTGAAGATGGAGGCAGCTAGTTCCTCCAGAATCCTTTTACCAAACTGCGCACATTCACATCCTGGAAGACAGCAGTCTTCATAGTCACTGCCAAGAGAACATCAAATCTCACATAGTTGTTATTGATTTTACTGAAGTGATATTAGATTGTACTAAATAATAATTCTACATTTTAACATTTGTAGGGCATAATGAGAAAGACTGTAACCACAATCTGTTTTATGCAGTTTTATATTGCTTTTATTGCCCCATATCTAGTTGGTACTTGGATCTGAGATATTTTCAGGCAAGACCATTTGTCATTTTACATCATGTTTCAGTAAACATTTAATGTATCAGCTTACATTTAATTTTAGAACATTACACAGTACTTTATTCTGTAATCTTGTTATGTTTGATGTGGCCACATTAAAATTTATTTGCCTGGGAGTGAGTGATTTTGCAGGAACATTGTTTTACACTAGGATATGAACTGCACTTCTCTACTACTTCGGCGTGTGTACACAGTAATAATTTGTTTGGTAGTTTTTTAAAATCACTGAAGCTCAAAAATACGTGAAGTCCAGTGATTGTGACATTTAAATGTTATGTCCCTTAATTGAATGTAAATATTAATGGGTCAGATTATTTGCACCAAAGTTAAATTAGGATAATAACTATAATTAGAATGTACATTTGTTGGGTTGTATAGAATAATTGTTGTTGATGAAAATTCACCAACTTTCCCTTTGAAAAAATGTTACATTGGTTATAATAGCTGTCAGTGAAGATTAATTTAATAAAGAAAATATCTTTACTGGCAAATGTTTTAGTCTTGATACATACATTACTTTCTCATTTAATTTGAACACCAATTTTATGACTATTTAAAATTTTATGGCGACCTGTTGTGGTCCATTCTTCACTATGTAATTTTCCTTATTATCCTATCCGTTATTATACTCAATAGGAAGGGTCAGATTACTTGAATATAGAGTTTTGTGAAGACTGTAAAGCTTTTAACAAGAAATGAAAAACACAAGAAATACTTCAGTAACCTGTATGCTGATAAACATTTCTTCAAATATTTCATAAATGAATTTCAGAATTACAGTAAATATGCATATTGGAACATTATTTTTATAGAAAAAACACATT